AGAACTGCAGCAAGAGCAGCACACACTTCCCATTACTGTCACAATCCATAAAGCCAGGAACAGTGAGCAGGGCTCCCTCAAGACCAGCTGGCTTGCCATGTTCAAGACTAGAATAACATTAACACCATTCATTATGTCTCAGCTTTTCAGCACATATTTTACTTTTTTTATGTGGATTTCTGCAGGCACTTTTCCCTGAGCCTGTAAGAAATGAACTGGAGAAAACCTAACCACAGCTCACTGGAAGAAAGTTTTAATTGCCTTTTTATCTACATACCTACTCTAGCATCTTCCCAGATTGATTCAATCTGCAGTTCAAGGAACGAGCTTATATCTTCCCTCAGGCAAATCTGCTCTTTCTGTACTGAATGCTGATTTTAAAAATTCAGTGTTTTGAAAATACTTTTTCCATCAAGTTTGTCAGTAAAAAAGTCAGATGCCAAGTGCTAGTTTTGCATTAACAGACTTCGTCAGCCACACATCAGGAATTAACTTCTTAGAAATTTGAGGATTAGGAACAATTGCTCCTAAACCCATGCAGGGTACTTTCACGTTACTGAAGCCCCACAGTGGACATTGTCCACAAACACTTTCCTGCTCCATGCTCCAAGATTAACAAACTGCTGAGACTTCAGGCTCTTTTTTGAATAAAAGCAAGTGAAACTGCTGACATGCACTTAATGCTTCAGTCAATAAAGAGAAATGAAGGTGGCTAGAACACTGGAATCAGGCTCTGCCTCATCCTTTCCCCTTAATTATATCAATTTTACCTTATGATTCAAGATCTCATTCATCCTTCTAGTAGCCTCTGTAGTATGAGACTCCGGGAAGTTTTTCTTGGGGACAACACCATACTTTTCTAAAGGAAAATAATAATACTACAGATTAACCATTATCTAATTCCTATCTACATATTATATTATCTTCTAATAATTATTTACACAGTAGACGTTAATGCTTCTGCCTATACCCATGTAAAAGCTACATATACTTGGGTTTTGTGCAGAGATTACAAGGGGAAGTCTCTTATTTAAAGGTTATGAGTATTCAAAGTTTACGTCTTAATTTGTGACTGAATGTTGACCTCTGCTCTGTACTCCACAGGGTCCCCACAAGTGGAATCCCTGAACTGTTCAGTATCATGTAATTTATAACTTTTAGGTGTTGAATTAAGTTGTGCTCTTTAAGAAGCTCTTCTCACCAGAAAAAGAAATTAATTGAAAATTAAGCTCCTGAATTACCTTTGAGAACTGGGTCTCTTATGAATTATTCCATGTATTTTATTTAAGGGTAAGTGACTGACTTCCCAGACTCTTTTTCTCAACATTTGTAAGACACCAGCAGCAGCTCAGCTACTTCCCATATTACGGCACCAGTCAAATATCACACTGGCTAATAAGGCTCTGGGTGTAACAGCAGCATCCAAAACTTCCTCTGCCCTGATTAAATATTTGTAACAACTGGATGGGGAAAAGAAGTAACCTCCAGGCTTCAAAGAAACAAATTCCTTTTGTGATTCTAAACCTACATTATTGGCTTGTTGATTTACAAAGTGTCGCATTGTTTCATAACACAAAAGCAAACCCTAGTGTGATTTAGACACAGATGTATCTCCTTAATCTGTGTATAAAAGATCTCACTTCGGCTGGATCTTTGCAAGACTAGCACTGCCACATTCCACATCATTTCCCTCACTGATCTTTACACCACCTATCTTCAGGCTTCAGCCCTAAGTAGTTTTGCTTCTGCCTTGTACACACACCTTAGCCTAGGAATGGGTTTTTCCCTTACCACATGCACTAAGAATCGAATACATGGATATAAATAACCAATGTTGAGTTGATGACTGAGGTAAAGGGGATTGAACCTTTTTACTGAACACAAAGTCCAGGATATCTCATTACTTCTGTTGATCTTCTGAGCTTCTGTTACCCACAGCAATATGCAAGAGTTAAGATCTCACACAAGATTTAAGCCTAGTATTTATGAACTGGCATGAAAACGCCTTTGATTAAAAAAGGTAGTGGTTAACAGCACCGTGCTCCTTAGCAAACCCCCAAGTCTCAAACAATTATTTCTTCTATTTCACTCTCATTTCTCAAACTAGCATGCCATTTCAAGAAGGGACCAATGCTCTTACCAATAATATTAACCAACATATCCCACTGTCCACCATCATTTGTGGGGTTGGTGAGCAGGAACTGCACCAGTCTGCCTCCCACAGGCTCATTCTGCTGAGCTGTTTCCACAAAGGCATTCAAAAAGTAGTAACAACGTTCCACCTGAAAAAATGGGAAAAAATACTCTTAAGCCTGTCACATTATGCATTCATTCCTTTCAGTTCTTCAGAAGTCCTACCTAGATCATCCACTTTATTTTCCATCTAACATTCCAGGGCTTACAGTATAAACTTCTTCCTGTTACAGACCAAGGAGTTAGCACAGAGCTTGAGGGTAGGGGAACAGAAAATGCAAAACACAAGTTTTTCCATGAAGCATGGCCTAAACTAGTCCTAGAATTTCTCTATTTCCTTTAGGGGAAACAAGCAGACACAGCTCAGAGCAGGGCACAGGGTGCCCAGAGAAGCTGTGGCTGCCCCATCCCTGGCAGTGTTCAAGGCCAGGTTGAGCACAGGAGCTTGGAGCAAGCTGCTCTAGTGGAAGGTGTCCCTGCCTGTGGCAGGGGCTGGAACTGGATGAGCTTTAAGGTCCGTTCCAACCCAAACCATTCTAGGATTCTATGATTAGCATCTTGATAACTTTCTTCTCAGGCTGGAAATCCCACTTTGCTTGACTTGTGCTTAAAATACTGATTTAAATAACTTTTGACAGTTCTTCTCATGATTTCCACCTGTAATGTTAAAATAGTCAAGCCTAAAAGAAAACGTGTCCCAATACTAACACCCAATTGCACAAGCTGTCCTAGCATAACCTGCAACCTGTGCTACCATACCTTATCCCAGAAAAAGAGATAGGACTGGCTGAATTCAAACTCTTCGATGTTGTATTTCTTCATGAAAGGAAGGCGCATTGCATTGAGACACGAGAAAATCCAACATCTCCCTGAGAGATCAAAGGAACAAGGGTTAAACTGGAATGCCTGCACTCCAGTGCTCTGGAACGTTTTCGTTTTAAACACAAGATTCATGACGCAGCTTTGCCGCAAGGCTTTGGCCAGGATGACAAAATACCAAAGCTTGTAAGAAGTTCAGAGCCCTTTTACTGCAAATGCAGTAAAAATCAACTGATTTTAACTTGCACTGTGCAGAAGGGAACAGAGGCAAGCACTGAGTCTGAGGACTGCTACTAACCCAAGAGGATGCTGCAGGGATACAGCTTTGCCTCAAAGCCAATGAAGTGATGTCAGAGGAAGCCATCAGTCGCCCCCCGACCACCACAGCCGCTGAGAGAGGGCACCCCGCTCCCCGAGGACACCAAACCTCACCCCGGAGCCCCTTACCGGAGTTCTTCTGGTTGGTGACGGGCTTGCCCTCGGCGGGCACGGCGTGCTGGAAGACCTGCACCGTGTCCTGCACCACCTGCCGCTGCAGGCACACCTCCAGCGGGTCGCTGCAGGTCGCCACATTCTGGGCCAGCAGGAACTGCGGCTCGGCCCGCAGCCGCCGGGTGAAGGCGGCGGCCTTCTCCGTGCTCAGCCCTGCGGGACGAGGAGGGGACAACCGTCACCACTGGTACCCCCCCCAAGCCACCCCATTGCTCAGGTAACGGGGGGGGGGGGTACATCCCCCCCCCCCGCTGCCATGGCAACAGGGCCCCCTCACGGGTAGCACCCCCCCGCCCGTTGCCATGGTAACAGGACACTCACCCCCAAAGCCGTGCCCCCCTTCACCGCGGGCGTTCATGGCACAGGCGGCGCGAGCTCCCGCACGGAAACGGCCGCTCCACGTCCGGGCCCACCGCACGTCGCGCGCGCCGAGGCGGAAGCGGTTCTTATAGCCCCGGCACCGGAAGCCGGAAGAGGGGGGCCGCACAGCCCCGGCCGCGGGTGGGAGGGGGCAGCTCGGCGTGGGGGCGGACGGCGCGCAGCAAGGGACAAGCTTAAGGCGGTTGCGCGCGTCGGGTCTCCGCACGCCCCTCGCTTTGCCCTCGGCGCTCGAATCTTCCTGAGGCAGCGCTGGGCCAGCCCGTTGTCTGCGGGCTTGTCTGCCCTGAGGGCCTCCCTGTGGGCGAGGCCTGGCCCTGCAGCTCCACAGGGCCCCGGGTGTGGGAGGCTCAGCCGGGGCTCCCCACCCCGCTGCCCCGCGGTCTCAGCCCCTGGTCTGGGCTGAACGCGGCTCCGCAGCCGGCCCAGTGGAGGCCCGGCACCTGGAGCGCTGGTGTTGCACGGTGCTTGTGAACGTTAGTCAAGGACGGGCTCCAGGTCACGCTTCCTGTTGAGTAACAGCCCTGCTCCTCCGAGAAGCGCGTTTGCACATCAGAACCCGGGGTTCATGTACAGCACACGGAGTTTATTTACAGTAAGGCACCATTCCGACATGTGGTGGGGCCCGGAAAGCTTGCCAGGACCTTGAGGAACGCTCTGCAGTGGCGTTACTGCAGAGGAGAGGGATGGAGAGCATTCACACTGGAATTCCCACTGTGTGGCTGGGTGCCCAACCATGCAGCACCCAGGGAGACGCAAGGTGTGACAGCAGTGCTAAGTACCTGCAGGCTTTCCCCTGGGCCAGAAGGAGCTGAGCTACCCATAGGATTCCCAGGAAGGGGCAGCGAGTTGGGTGGCTGCCACCTCTTTAACACATTATGGTGCTGTAGGACAGCGACAAGAAAGCAGCTGCCAGGTCAACACCTTGCATTATCTGTGTGCATCGTCTGTGGCAGCACACCATGGATTCCTCATTAGACCAATGCACAAGCTGCATGCCTAACTGCATGTGTGTACTTTGTAGGAATAAGTATGGAAGGCAAGACCTGGCAGCAGCTCCAGCAGTCCAGCCCCCATAGCACTGCTCTGAGCAGTAGGTTAGACTGAACAATTGCAAAGAACCAATTATAGTTTGAAAAGATCGTATAAACTTGACCCCAAAAAGCTTGTTTCAGTGCTTTATCTCAACATCTCACTCAAGGGCTTAATTCCAGCAGTAGAAATTTACGGTTTCTGGGTATGCACAGGATCCCTGCGGTCTTCACCTGCAGCAAAATGGAAAGAACAAAGGAAAAATCACCTACAGGGGAAAAAAACCCCACGTGAGTTGCATTTACCTGGGCTGCATTCAGCTCCAGGAAGCACACTGAGTGCTCTTCTGGTTTAAGCTTTAAGACAAGGCTTAAAGAAGAGGGTTTGTTTGGAAGCTGCTTGAATAAGCAAATACTTACAGAGCTGTTTCATTTGATGTCTTGAAGCACTGGAAATAAAGAAGCAGACTCATTATCTTTTGTGTTTCCTGACCATAGGGATATTTAGATTAATATATTACAAGTGCATGATGCTCTCCACCTTAAAATACCTACTATTTGATTACCTACTGCTAGTTCTAAAGCAGGAGGTCATATGTAGAGTTCTTTAACCGTGGAAAGCCGCACAACAAAGTAGAACAGAAAAGGCAGAAGAAGACAGGGCATTGCCACAAAATACTGTTTTTTTTCCCTAATAAATTGGAGCTTTCCATACCTTGCAAATGTTATCTTTTTGAGCCACAATTCCAAAAAGTATCGTGAGTGAAACCACCACAGCAGCAGCAATAATGGCCTCCGTGGGGAAAACAGGCTGTTTGTCTGTCAGGAGAGAGGAGGTTGAATATGTGATCGATTGGTAGAGTCACATAAACCAGGACATGTCACAGAACTGCAGGCAGGCTTATTTCCCCTCCTGTGGCTGTCACTGCTGATTTGAAGTGTTGCTGTCTGCAGTCTGAATGTGTGCATTAATCCTCTGCAAAGAAGGGAGCCAAGCCTGTTTTAGGAACTGAAGGAAGAATGGAAATGTTGGTCTCTGAAGAAGAAGGAGGTCCCCAAAGCGCTCTTACACATGGTAATAAGAGTGTCCAGAAGTGTCCCTGACACAACTGGCGTCGCTTTCCTCCCTGGTCTGAGAGTGCAGAAGTGAGGGGGGCCTGGACAGTTGGTGGACAATGGAGGCCTGAGACCAGAGCATCCAGCCCCAGCAAGGCTTCCACCACCCAGCTGTTTACAGAGCTACAGTTGCTTATGGAGGACAGCTTCTCTCGCCCTAAGCAGCTCTTTTGGCAGGACAGAACACGATGGTCAGGGTAAGATGCTTCAAGTAAGACCTAAGGTGCTTTAAGCCACAGCTGAACGTGCCCTGTCAGTGTGGGAAGTGAGAGTGGGATGACTCTGCCTCAGGTCACACTTGCCACACGCCTTGGAATAACAGGTAGGGCAGGAAAGGCCCTTCCTGGTGCTGTGTTCTCAGGTGCAGGTGCAAGGAGAGCTCCTTGCTATTGCTGTGCCCTCAGAAGTCTCCTGCTTACTCCATTTCACTTAGATTTCATCATATAAATGTGTTGATACCATTGTAGAATAGAAGGGAGAGTTACTTGTAAAGCTTATTGTTTGGCAGCAGCCATGTTACCTTCAACTATCAGGTGGAAATCCTTTTTCCACTCGCTGAAAGGATAGCTCATCACGCAGGTGTAGGTCCCATTGTCAGAGATCTGCACTTGTTTAATGGAGAGCTGAAAGACCTCACTGGTCTGGTAGAGCTGGTAACGGTCCTTTTGCAGGGTCAGGGTGGTGTTGTTCTTGTACCAAGCCGCACGGGCCTGAGGGTTGGATTTGGAGTTGCAGGACAGAGTAACGTCTTTGTCTTCTTCAGTGTGGACGAACTCCTCTCCAGACAGGTGGGGAGGAACTGCTCACAGTAATGCAGGTCATTAATAAAGCTGCTCATCATGTAACACAACAGAAGGGCCTTTACACATCCTTTGTACACCTCGCTCAGTGGTAAAACACAGCACAGTTGAGCAGCCTTTCCTGATTCCCGGGAATCAGCAGGTCACTCCCATAACTCCTCTGCCCTGACTTGTATCCTTGGGAAATAATCTAGGTGGAGGCAGGGACATAGGTGGAGGCAGGGACATATCCAGGACATCTTACTTAAGGGCCCACCCACTCCCTATAAAAGAGGCATTAGATCAGGTCATGAACACCAAGGTGGAAAGGGAGTGTCATATCACATGAGCTATCTCCTCCTAGATGCATTTTTTCTTGGTGAAGACAGCATACAAAGATGCAAAACACCCACCTTCACCTACTGCCCAGACACTGAGGGGTTTGGCCCTTGATTTCATCCCACCCCTGCCATTCTGCACACATATCCACCACTACGACTCACACTGGACATCCAGGATCACAGACACCTGCACAGACGTGTCCCGTGCCAGCTTGCACGTGAAGGTGACTCCATTGTCGGACTCAGTGACTGGGGATATGCAGATGTTACTGATGTTCACTTTATTCCCATCTTTCAGATCCACTCGCCCATCTCCTCGGTACCAGAGCAGCTCCTCAGCCTTGCTGCTGTTCTGCACCAGGCAGGAGAGGGAGACGGCAGGGCCAGGTGATGTAAGCAGGGAGAAGTCAGCGTTGTGGTTATTTACTGACAGCTCCAGACCTGCAAAAGGAGAATGAGGACACTGAGTACCCTAAGCTGTTCCCTTCCCACAGAAGCTGCCCTGCTACCTTCTTCAGGCCTTGACCTTTAGGAGTGACTGAGAGTTTCAGCCTCAATCTAACAGCTCTTTTCAGGTGGGACTTCAGTTTTGGAGACAAGTCTCATCACAAAGCTCCCTTCACACTCGAAGTCAGGCTTTTGCAACTGACTGTGAGAACACCAAAGCCTGACCTGTAGTAACAAAACATCTCAAACCCAGCAGTGACCATGTAAGACACAGCAAAAGATCATTCCACCAGTCATGCTCACCCTCTTGCTGCCAGTCACCATTGCAGGATACCTGTGTCCTCAGGTTTTGTGCTCATGGTTTGATAAACTGCTGGTTTTTGATTGGAGCTGAATGGGCTTGAGAATATAAATGAGTTAATCAGCCCCTTGGCCATATCCTGGCCAGTCTGAGTCTGGAAATTGAAGAGTTGCAGTTTGTCTAAAGGACAAACCTCAGGACATGCTAAATAACGAACCAGTACGGGGAAGAAATGTTTCTAATGGGCTGAATCTTACTACTGTAGCCTGGGTCATAGATGAAGGAACTAAAAATACAGCTCAGGATATAAAGGCGCTATAGTCCTGTGAATGTAAAACAGTCTGGAGCTCCCTGTCCCTTCCATGGTGTTCCCAGCTGACCAGAGCTACCACACTTCTCCCTGCTTAGAGCAGGTTATGGAATGGTGTCCTCCTCATCGCTGTGCATCTGCTGCAATGGGAAACGCTGAGGCTTCCCCATTCCCTTCTCTGCTACTCTCAAAATCAGAGACTGGTTTCCAGCCAGTCCCCTGGGGATGACCTCCAGAACATCTGCATTCTGGGCTGCTGGTGTGGCACACCACCATGGGCACTGCCCAGCCCAGGGCAGCTTCCCATGGTGGGGCTTGGACAAAGCTAGGAGGGATTTTTTCCATTGCTTACCTGTGGCTACACACACCAAAAGGCAAAGAGCAAGGAGAGGAACCTCATAGGGGACTGCGAGGCTGCTCCTCTGCGCCATCTCGGAGGGGTGTCTGTGAAGAGAGGTTAGTTCCTTGCTGCCATGGGCTACCCTGGGGAGAGCCCTCCCAGATGGGTACAGGATCACAAGGGAATAAACTAAGTTGATTTGTTGCAGGGATTTCTCCAGCTCAGAGCAGAATCAAGGGGGTTTTCCATCTCTAATCTCTATTGTGTGAGTTCATTGCCTCCGATCACCTGTCTACCAAGAGGAGCCCATCTCCAGTCGTGCAGCACTGGACTTACCTAGGGCAGAGTCTCTGGAGAAGCTGCTTCTGCCAAGAAATGCACAGCTCCTTTCCCTCCTTATTTATAAGGTTTCAATTTTAGTATTTTATGGTAGCTTAGTAAGAAGTGAGTCCATAAAATGGGTTCAAGGCCTTGTTCAGTCCGTGGGTTTCTGAGCTCTCAGAACAATGAAGAAAAGTATTCGCTGGGCTCTGCTGGGTGTTTTATGAGACTTGCCAAGGCAATGAGTAACTAATGAGTTTCTGCATTGGCTGTAAAGACCTTCAGCCAAAAAGAATACTTTTCCCCTCAGCTTTCTGGGCTTTCATGACATGTTTCAAGGCATAGGAAGTTTATCCTGGATTCCCCTAGAGCAGAAGCAGACTCTGATTTCCTCCTCTCTGATTTGCCCTGAAGCTTTGTTGCTGTGTCCCGCTTTACCTAAAAATGAGAAAATGCACTGATTCAGACTTTGAACTGAAGCTACTGCCCTGTAGCATGTTGGCAGAGGAGAGAGAAGAGCCACTGTCCTGCTCACTGATGTGTGCCTGCTCACATCAGTGACCTTCAGCAGGATGACAGTGATGTGGTTGCAAAGGATGGGGTTCTTGCAGCCTCCAGAACGTGTTCTCACCGTTGGCAGTGTCCCCACAGGCACAGGGCATGTCCCTCCTCAGGAACCGGCTCAGCAGGGCCATGAAGAGCATTTCACAAGCAGCAGGAGCCTGGAACACATCCTCAGCATTTTCTCTGTGTGCAGACTTCAGTGGCTGAGCTCCGTGGCTATTGTATGCAGAGCACAGGAGCACTCACCACTGTTTAGCTGTGGGGCTGTTGCAAACATAGGGCACCTTTGAGTGTTTCTTAATACAGCTTTTGTCTGTGTTCATTGGTTTATTCTTTAAGAGGGAATCATTTTCAGGTTAAAAATATATGTGACCGAAAGTCCCTTAAAGAGACAGTGTTCAGCCTGAAAACTGCTGTTTCAGAGCTCAGTGTGCAGCCTTTAACTTGCTTTTTACCTTCAAACTCAAATTAAGACACTTTTAGCTTAGTTCATCACTTTTTGGAAGTTGTATGTCCTCTCCTTACAGCACTGGATTGAGTGTTGGTTTATGGTTCAGTATGAACTTCAATCAAAACGCTTTTCCTAGGAGTAAAGTGACATTTGTGGTTTGGTGTTAAGCCGAGTTGAAATAGAGAGGGATGCCAAAGTGGTCACAGCAGGACCAGGTGAAGAAGGACGTGTTTAAAGTGAGAATTTAAAGGAAGAAAGAATGGAGTTTTGGGGTATTTTTTTAGTCTAGAAATGAGAGTGAAGGAACAGGTTGTTGGGGAAGAGCTGTTCTGTGGTGGGTTTGTCATGATGGATGGCACAGCATCAAGCAGGACCTGGGGAAAGCCCTGTGCCTCTTGCAGCAGGTCTGTGGTGGGTGAGCTCAGGTTCATCAGGTTTATGTTCCCCTAAATGAAGGCATTGCAGTGTTCTGTTTTGCAACGGGCTCTGAGACGTGCTGAAGGAAGAGGGACTAGAACAGGAACGTGTTACTTGGCCAGAGGCACTCAAAGGCAGCGTTTTTAACTGGTAACAATTGCTTTCACAATGGCTTTTTACACTTCTCTTTTTATACGGGGTGTAATTACCTTGTGGGTGTTAATTACTGAGGCCAGGAGTTCTGTGGCGTGCATTATCCACCTTTCCATTACGTTTAGGAAGGATGTAAACCTCATGCTCCAGAATGTGAAGCAGCCGTTAGTGACTCAGAGTGGGAGGAACCTCTTCAGGGAGGCACATCCTCCATAACCCTCCATGCAAAGGATCCAGCCTTCTCATTTGAGGTATTTGGATCAGGCACTATCAAGGCAGGATTAGACAGACTAGAGCCAGAGTAATCCACTGCTCATCATCCTTATGGCAACACCAGCCTAACAAACCCAGAAGAATACTGTTAAATATGACTCTAAGCAGCCCCAAAGGGAATTAATTAATAAACACCAGTCTATTCCTGGGTGTAATCCAAGCCTTGGAAACCTGAGAAGAGAAGATTTAGAACATGATAGAGATTGGGCATAAGTGTTTTTTTCCACTGGGTCTCTTAACCTCCAACTCCAAACTTCACACTGGTTTGGGTTCCTCTTGGTTGTTCTCAGTGCCTGCAGAATGGGGGTAACAACTCATAGACCTCTCCATTTCCACTGGCAGATGAGCACTCGATTTATACCCAGCAGGGTTGTGAGGGCTGAAGGTTGCTCCTGGAGTTGGGAGCATAGCAGGATCTGTGCAGGATCTGTGCAGATGTGTGGAAGCTGGGGTTCATTTGTCAAGCAGGCAATGCCTGTACCATGGCTGTACCCCCACTCCGGAAAACACGTTTCTTCAACAGTGCCCGAGGCTCTGCTCAAAGACTGCTCCTATCTGCCTACTCAGTGCGGTTCCATGCTCCTAATCCCTTTTTAATATGTGCTGCTGCATATTTTGCAACGCTTCCATTGTTGGAGAATGACTGTAATACCCAAAGCTGCTGCCTCTGCTTGCCGGATAGCTGGGATGGAAAGCCAGGCTATCAGGGGATGCTCCTGCATCTTACTCAGCACTCCTGTTCCCTCCCACGAAACCTATTTTTCCCAAGAGTTAGGATGGTGGAGTTGTGATGTGTCCTGATTTCTCTGTTCCCAGCCTATACCCCACGTATTTTCCACTGTTGAGGTGGACACATTTTGTTAATTCTATTTTCTGATAGTCATTGTGTAAACGGTCCCACTCTCTGTCACTGAATGCAGAGGAATGATACGTGATCTTTAGTCTATTTATTATGTGTAAGATTAGCAAAAGCAGCACCAAAGCAGTGAATGCTTTGAAATCGCTTCGAGGACACTGAAGATTCCAATGAAAAGTGGGCATTGATGAAGAAACGGCTCCCGAGATCAATCAAGAGGAAGAGCAGCCTTCAGGAAGGTGAAGTGCTGGGCACTGTTGCCATCTACTGGAGAGACACCCACAAGAGCTGGCACCCGGAGACCAGTGTCTGACAGGGAGGAAAATCACCTCCTGGGTGAGATCCCTGTGACCACCACGGCAGAAGCTCAGAAGCAGCAAACCCTGCAGAAGCCTAAAGCAATGCCACACTCATGGACAGCGTTGCCCAGACCTGTGTGTTCAGGGGAGGGTGTTTCTGAGGTGGGAATTCCCTTTGTGTGAGTTTTGTAGGTGCTGTGGGAAGTCCCCTGCAGAGTCTGTGCTCCTGGTGATGCAAGAGGAAACCCTATCCTGGCCTTTTACTGCTCTGCTCATATTTCTTTTCCAGAACTGTGAGTAAATTGGGTTTAGAGGACCTCAGTCATCACTTTCAACAATTGCTCCTGGATCTTTTAAACCCCCCTTTTGGAAGTGAGTGCAAAAATGGAACCATGTTCCAGGAGGACAAGTCTGACCTTTAATGAGGAGCACTGAGGCACTTGCCAGTGTTCCCTGGGCTGTGAAGAAAGCAGCCAAGGGACTGTAGCAAGGCTCAGGGCAGTGAATGAAAGGCCCAGCAAACTGCTGGGGAGCAGAAGGCGCAGCTGCCTGGTGCCAGCAGGGAGCACTGTTCCCTGGCTGCTCTGGGTTACCTCCAGCGCTACAATCACCAATCTTGCCTTAGAAGACTGAAGGTAATACCCTAATGTGGCTGTTGCTGTCCTACTCCGAGAAATATGGTGTCAAATAAAGGAAATGTGAAAGGAACCTGGCATTAAATTAGCAATAGAGGTCTCCTACAGGAGATAAAAGTGACTCATGTGTATTAAACTCCAATTAAATGTTGGCACTTGTAGTTTCCCATCTCAGAAGGCCTGGTTCGTAGCTGCCAGCTTTCACACCTAGCAGGGCTCAGGGAAATGAATACCATCAGTCTTTGCATCATCCATTGCTGAAACTCCATTTTCTACCTGATTGAACCAACTAGTGTCCTGCCTGAGCTGTGGGGTTAAACTGCATCATAGCAGTGATAACGTGCCAGGTTCCCATGACTTGATTCTTTTCCTGGACAGAAAACATGTCTCTACTGCTGATGGGTTGGATTTCAAGGGGGTTTTGTTTCCTCTGGGAAACAAAAATGGGTGAGGATGATGCTAAACTGGGTGCCTGTTCCTTGCCCAGTTTAGGTGCTCTCTGATGGCCAGCACAGGACATTCCCTAGCAGCATTCCAAGATGTGCTTCTTTTTCAAGGCTCTGTTCTGCTGTGGCCTGGACCTCAGATATTTTTGTCTACCTAGGAACTTTCATCACCAGTGGGATTTCTTGGAAATGCTCTGCTGGAAAACCAAGTGCTGATTTGATCTTGTGAAGTGCTGCCAAACAATATTAGCAGCTTTAACCTCCCTGCTGTGGCGTCATCCCTCATTCCCTCTGCAAGGAATCTGCGGAGACAGAGCTGCTCCATCTTTCCAGTTCATGGGGAACCATTTGCTGCTAATCTTTAGGAGGAAACCACACTCTTCCTCCATGGCTGGAACTACTTCAGAGCGTCTCAAGGCAAAAGCCGCAGCCCCTGAATAACCACCTTCTCGGGTGCCAGGGTTGCAGATCTTGGCAAGCACGAGCACAGGATTGAGCTGAGGAAGAGAAGGAGGAGGAGGAGAAAAAGAAGAAGGAGGAGGCAGTTTCCTGCAGGTGGGGCCCTATGCTGCAGAGCTGCTCACCCAGGGACCTGGAAGGCAGAGCTGTCTTAGGTTGGCCCAAGGAAATGGGAAGGCTTTGTTGTTACTGGCTGCAGAGAAAATGAGTGGGTGACTCACCAGCCTTCAGCCCCATGCTGCTTTTACAATTGGTTTGTTGAATTTCCAGACAATTGGGCTTTTATCAGCTAAAAAGGGAAATAAGCTCAGTTACTCTGTAAATCCAGAGCAATTTATCTGTAGACTGGGGACTTAAAGCTATGTAACGGTGATCACTTTTGCGACAGCCAAATTCCCTCTTGTCGTTTCTTCTTCCCTTTTGGATTAAGAACATCCTGATGGCTGAGGTCTTTTGGCTTTTCCAGTTTAATTAGATGGATAATCCCTGTTCCTTGCTTCTCCCCCCCTTAATGACTCTGCAGCACAGATGAGCCCGAAGAAAGACAAGGCAATTTACTCTCCTTTTCTTCAGCGCCCGTTTGAGCTGGACCACGCTTGCCTTACACCAGGGTTTGCATCATCTGATGTCTCACGCAAAGAATCCTGAAATGCAAGGAGGTGAAAGGCTCATACCACTGAGGGTTCCCCTCAAAATCAGTTTTATGTGTTAGACTAAGACCTTGTGTCTCCACAGGAAATGCCAGAGCTGGGAAGCAGATGTGAGCATGAGACACCACTGAGAAGTTAAACAGGAGTCGATGGGAATTTGCTGTAGGAGATGGGCACTTCGCTGTTTTATGGACTGCAACACAATTTTCACAGAGTAAGCTGTTCTGCTTGTTATTCCTTATCGTCCCACCTGCCCCAGAAAGGAATTGGCAAAGATCTGAACGGAGGAAACCCCAAGTACTGTTTCTACATCTCCTCAGGCGCACAGTCCTGCAGTAGCTTGCAGT